TATATATATATACTTATTTACTGTTTTCACCAATATTTTGTGATCTTGCTCTAACTTTTACATTATTCTGAGTCAGTTGACATTTTAAAAGGTGATTTATCTAATGAATAATAATATCAGCATATTAAATTTGGATAATTAAAATATTGAAAAAATACACACTAGTTATAGTGTGTATTCATACTAGTTATAGACCTTTTCCTTACTAACCTGACAGAAAGCAGATGACATGGAATCTGAATGTGATGAAAGACAGCTGTATTGATGCACTCTGCACAAAAGGAGAACTGAGACTGTTGAGAGAGTTTGCGTGCTCACTTGCCCAGAGTGGTTATGGGTAAGACCTCGAGGCGTGAGAAGGTGATATAAAAGTTGTTTCTCTTCTGTGTGTTTATATCTATCCATCATCAGGGCTCTGTATATGAGGACAGTCTCTACAGTGGCTCTCGACGCTCCAGTGCTCGTGCTGTAAGAACGATAGAGCTAAACTGTGCATGAAAATTACAATGTACACCCTGTTAACCTGTGGATTCAGTTCTCTAACCATTAGCATGTTTTTATTTGTTTAAACATAATTTGTAATGTTGACTCATGATTAAATTCAGGGTTCCTGTATACCCTTATAATGTTATGTCTCTCAGATAATTCTCAAAATATCACTTGTATATGTTTTTGTACATAGTGGGGTTGTTGTGTGTGATTTAGAGGCTAAAAAAGGTTGCTTATGCAGGTCAAATAAATGCTTTTTTTAAAGACTTGAAATGGGTTTTGTGAATGACATAAAGCTAAACGTGACTGTAGGTGTTTTTCTATTTTAATTTAATTTAGTTTTTCTCATTAAAGGGGTCATATGACGTTGCTCAAAAGAACATTATTTTGTGTGTTTGGTGTAATACAATGTGTTTATGCGGTTTAAGGTTAAAAAAACACATTATTTTCCACATACTGTACATTATTGTTTCTCCTCTATGCCCCGCCTTTCTGAAACGCGTCGATTTTTACAAAGCTCACCATTCTGAAAAGCAAGGTGTGCTCTGATTGGCCAGCTATCCAGTGCGTTGTGATTGGCCGAATACCTCAAGCGTGTGACGGAAATGTTACGCCCCTTACCATATTGTGATGCCGTGTCCCAGCGCGACGAGACAAAAACAATAAAACCCATTACAAAAGAGTAGGACTGGGTTTTGACAAACATTTCACGATTCGATTCACAATTCGATTCTATTCTATTCTATTCCATATTGATTATTTTGGATATATATCTGGTACACATGCAAAATTTTCAAGAGAAAAAAATCTCATAACTAAAGCTGTAAAATATACATTAGAGTCAGCTGGTACTACATTACTATAATATTGAAGGTTAAAACTGACTGATTTTTTAGGCTATACAACTGCTTAAATTAGACTTAATGACGTTTTTATAATAAAAGTTACAATTACATAATAATATTTCTACTTCAATTTTTTTTTTTTTTTTAATATTAACATTTAAATGGTGGCTGTCATAAATAAATATAAATTAAACACTGAAGAACAGTAAAAGTTATAATGAATATATTATATGGTGCATATATTGAGCAAAATGCTCCTCTCTACAGTTTATTTTTCTATCTGACTAATGAGTTTATGGCATTCTAATTTATTGAGATGCACCTGTATGTTGTCACAGTGGTGAGTTTTCTACCAGCTTGTTTTTCTCTGCTTGTGAATTTGTACTGCACGTAGATTTGTACTTTTCTTCCTTGTTTTGTTTTTTCTTTGAAAATCTTGTAGATGTGTGGTGACTGTATCAGGCCTGAAATGTCTGACAATCTTCAATCCATTTTGTGTATATACATGTGCATTGTATCTCTTACTCTCTCTGGACTTCGTCCAGAGCAAATTCTGTGTGTGGCAGTCCGGTGGTGAGCAACTTCACTGTCACTGATGCCCAAGATGATCATGGACCATCACAATTATATTTCATAATTTGCTTTCTCAGTGACGGATTCAGTTACAGCTACATGCATCCAGTTCATTGGGGCTTTTTCTTTTAATGACTGTGTGTCATTGATTGTTAATGTTTCTAGCTGAGTCAGTGGATGAATAAATTTTTAGTCTGTTAAATTGTTTAAATACTTGATGTTTTCCTATTAAGTAGGATTTAATTACTTTAACAGTGTAAAAAGCGACATCTGAAGTGATGTGTGTTTGTGTGCATTCTTTCTTTGGGTGCATGCAAAAAGCCAACTGTTAAATTTGGACAGTTGAGACTTCACAAATAGCTGAAATACCTCTCGCATTGATGTCAATTGCTGCTATCTGGTGGTTTCCAGGAGGACTGCAGCAGCTCAGTGGCTAGTTTCATGCGCAGCACAGCTAGTATCAGTGGCCTCTCTAGAGACCTTGACCGTGTGGTTATCCCTGACCTGCCAAATGTTAATGGGAGGCTTTCTATGGTACGAGAGTGAAATCTTCGGGTTCATGTGATTTGTGGTGGCTGATGCCCTGGTTTAAATTGTGTGTGTGTGTGTGTGTGTGTGTGTGTGTGTGTGTGTGTTGGCATGTTGAATTGAGGTGATAGTCTGCATGTGAGATGGACAGTGGTCAACTGATTCAGTGAACTGATTTTATGTGCAGAAAAACACAGAAGTCTGATGCTTGTCATGATGTTTGATAGAAATGTCCAATAATTCAGGTTCATTGTAAAAGACGTATTCGCAAACACCTTGAGAATTATTACAGACTTGTTTGCTGCTTGCATTTTGATTTATCAATGTTATTGATCAAATGCAATCATGGTGTTTTGAATCTTTGCAACTTGACAGATTTTCTTCCTCTAATGGAAAAATATATTTTTACTAACTTCTTTGTGTGTGGACAGCATGAATCCGAATGAATGAATAAGAGACTTGATGGCTTGACATGATTTTTGCAAGACTACAAAATCTATTGACTGTGTATCATCTTGTTTATTTACAGGTTGATGACAGGTTAGAGCGAGACTACTTGGAAAAGGTTTGCAATCCCCCCCCCATTTTTTCTGTAGCTTTTTAACCATTTAAACCTTTTCTCACAATAAACTGTATAAATGAGCGATATAACCTATGACTTGCTGTATTTTTAGGGTTCTTCACTAGCATCGACTATTTCTGGAGCCACTCTTACCTCTCTGGGTGGGACATCCTCACGGAGAGGAAGCGGAGATACATCCATCTCTGCTGACACAGAAGCATCCATAAGGGAAATCAAGGTGTGTGTCCTGATCTATTTGTATACTGCCAGTTTAAATTTAAGCAGCAGTTTTATGTAACCACATGATCATCCCATGATTTCATGGTATGCTTTTGCTGTTTACAGTGCTATTATCTTGAATCCAAGTTAATGGCACTGTAACATAGCATGTTTTAATAAATATATTTATTTATAATATAAATTAGTCTGATAAAAATGCATTGCTCATTTTAATCACTCATCTTGCTCACAGAAACAATTTTCACAGACAGCAGCTCAGCACACTATCATTTTCTTTGTCTATGTTGCTCAGTCCTGTTCCTAGTGATCTGCCTTCCAACAGAGTTAAAGGGTTAGTTCACCCAAAAATGAAAATTAGCCCATAAATTACTCACCCTCAAGTCACCCTAGGTGTATATAAGAAAAAAGTCATATACACCTAGGATGACTTGAGGGTGCCTAATTTTGGCCTAATTTTCATTTTTGGGTGAACTAACCCTTTAAGTCTCAGCTTCAATCAAACAATCCTGAACAAGATAACTTAAGATGTTTGTGTGTTAAACTCTTCAGGAGCAGGACTGACCACCTTCTATGATCTGCTTCACTGTTATTTTCTACAGCTTTGTACTTGTTTCTTGCACAGTAATTAATCCGAAAATCAGTCTGGCGTTCTTTACCCTTTCATTGCTCTTCCTCCACTGCATCCTTTATCCTTCCTCCTCATCCTCACTTTTCATTCAGGAGATCCACGAGCTTAAGGATCAGATTCAAGATGTGGAGGCGAAGCACATGCAGAACCTCAAAGAGCTCAAGGTACATGGCTGGTAAAGGCAGTGCCAGTCAAAAGCCCAGCGAGAACCTGCTGTGTTTGAGTTATATATGACAGTGCTGGCACAACATATTTTGTGCTTTTTAACCAGATGAGATTATATGATATTAGTCTCTGGTTCTTATCTGTCTCTCATCTTGCATGTTTATACATCTATGCCACTGAAGTCTATAGCCTCATTTTCTCTGCCTTGCTTCCATCTTTGACTATCTTATTCTCCAAAGCATATCATACACATCCCTTTCCATTAATTAATTTGATTTGATTTTAATTTTAATGAGAAATTTAGTTTAAAATTGTGTTCAAGACTGATGTAGAGGTTGAGGTATTGTAATGCATGTTCAGATGTGTTTGTGAGTGTTTGCTGGTTTTCAGTGTGGTGTCCGACTTTTTGAAGGATTCCCTTTTGGAAATGGAGGAAAAGTACCGTAAGGCCATGGTATCCAATGCACAGCTGGACAATGAGAAGACCAATATGATGTATGAAGTGGACACTTTGAAAGACTCTTTAATGGAACTGGAGGAGATGCTCTTTGAAACACGCCGAGAGCTTGAGGAAAAGTGTAAGGTCTGTACAGTCAGGTGTGCATTATAAGAAGTTGCAGTAATGCTTTGTTGTAATACATTGGCAAATCACAAATAATAAATTACGTTTAGACAATAGTAAGAGCTTTTAATTGGCATTTTCGTTCATACATTTTATTTTTTATAATTTGTAATCTTTTTTTTTTTTTCGTTTTATGATTAAAATAGAATGGTGTACAAATGGCGTTTTTGTATTTTAATCTCAGTGATGACACTCTTAAATATTAAATTTAAAGGGTAAATAAAAAAACTAAAGCTAGTTTTATGTTTTAGGACCTTGAACGAGAGAAGCATGCTCATAGTATACTGCAGTTTCAGTTCAATGAATTGAAGGAGACATTGAAACAGAGTGAAGAACTGCTCACTGTGAGTATTTATGTCTCTGTGCTAAAACCTTTGTCTTATTCAAATGCTTGGCTTATCTGCCCATCTGCTTTAACAGCTTCTCTCCTTCCTTCATCTTTGTTTTTCTTCCATGCACAATACCTCTCTGTAGGAGATCCGTCAATTACGGCTCAAGCAAGATGGCTATTTTAGGGAGATTTCTGACCTCCAGGAAACTATTGAGTGGAAGAATAAAAAAATTGGGGTATGATTCCTCAGATCCCTCCTGTAAAAATTGTATTTGTCATTTACCTTCATTTTAAAGGGGTCATATGATGCTTTTTTAAAGATCATTATTTTGTGTATTTGGTGTAACAGAATATGTTGACATGATTTAATGTTCAAAAAACACATTATTTTTCAAATACTGTACATTATTGTAGGTCCTCTATGCCCCGCCTCTCTCAAACACGTCGTTTTCAACAAAGCCCCTTCCTTTGACAAGCGCAGTCTGCTCTGATTGGCCAGCTGACCCAGTGCATTGTGATTGGCCGAACACCGCAAGCACTCGTCGGAAATGTAACGCCCCTTACCATAATCGCGAGCTTCATCTTTCAAAATAAATGTAAAGACAGAGCCCGAAAGGGGAACAGAGTCGCGTGACAGACACAGTGATGAAGCTGGTATGTGTTTGCAGTACACAAGCCATGGTTAAGACAGCTGACTCCACTGTGATGTGACCCTGTCTCTCTCTCTCTCTCACACACAAGTCAATAGCAAATACTTAAACATACTTACAGTCGCTGATTCAGAAGCGCCAGATTGTCAAAGTCTCTCTCTCTCTCTCTCTCTCTCTCTCTCTCTCTCTCTCTCTCGCTCTCTCGCTCTCTCGCTCTCTCTCGCGTTCTCTCTCTCTCTTTCTCGCTCTCTCGCGCTCTTTCGCGCGCTGTCTCTCGCGCTCGCTCGCTCGCGCACACACACACACGATGCGCAAAACTCCGCATTTGAACAGTCAATAGCAAATACTTAAACTAATAACAAAACAGTAGCTGATTCAGAAGCGCCAGATTGTCATAGCAAAGTCAGAATTACCTCCTCTCCTAGGTTCACGAAACGGTCGTCCATAAAATGCATTGCTGTTCTGTTGTAAGTAATCTTAAAGATTCCTAAATGCATCTACTTTCGGAAGGCCAAATAAAGTGCTTTTGCTTTCGCCTAGAAACACACAGCGTCTCCCTGACATGGCTAAACTTGAAATCGCATCATATGACCCCTTTAAGAGAATTATAATTTCACTTTCAAACATAGTTGTCGATTAGCTTGATTCTACATCTGTTTCCTGCTACAATCTGTCTGTCATTGCCAAACTGTTCTTGTTGTCTGCAGCACTGATGTTATCATTGCTTTCACCTTCTTTTTCTCCTCTTTGCTACATCTTTGCCAAATCACTTCTGGTGCTGTTCAGGCATTAGAGAGGCAGAAGGAATTTTCTGATGCCATTCGAAATGAGCGGGATGAGCTTAGAGATGAGGTTGTTCAGCTCAAAGATATTTTGAAGGTATTGATATGTGTGGTGAAAACTAGGGCTAATTCTTTTCTCATTAACATTTCCTAACAGAACAGCTTTGTAATAATTTTTAGTAATCTAAAGATGTTAAGATCCAGAATATAATATAAATCGAGACTGATTCAGCTAACATTCAGCTTCTAACTGAGTAAACAGAATCGTAATCATAATATTTTTGCATCCACAAATATATACGTTTAAAAATAATAACTCTAGGCTCTGTGCATCTAAAATTAACACGGATCTGTTTTTATACTAAGTAAACTAATATTAAATTGTTTTCCTGTCCAGAAACATGGCATTGTCCTTGGACCCGACTTGGCCACCAATGGAGAAACAGGTGAAGAAGTCGGAAAGGCTGATCAGAATTCTCAAACAGCATCAGCTGAAATCCGAGAGGGGAGTAGCGTACTAGGTAAGCTGCTTTTCTTAACTTCATTCATTGCACGCTAACATTTTTTATCTTTGTCACTTTGCATTTTCATCTTGTACAGCTTGAGCCAAGTCTAACCAAACTATTTATGTGTACGTGGTACAAATGCACCTTCACATTAACATCTCTCACAATTTCCGCTTCCCTGTAACCGCTTTGCATATACAGCTAGAATGAAAGTTAACACTATAGAGTCATGTCTCTTTCTTGAGTCCTTATTCCAATACTCTGCTGGACAAGTGTTTATAAAATTGCTGAAAATATTTCATCATCCTTGATTTCAAATGAAAATCAAGAGCAGAGTAGTTTGTTTAGTTCTTGACGTTACTGTGGGGTTTTCTTCTTTGGGACATCCTTCAACACATTTGATTTGTATGGGTTTAAGAGCTTTGCCATGGAGTCTTCGTTTTTTCACTCCTTTCCCTCTGTCTTTTTCTTCTCACGCTAAACATTTGCCAAATATTCAATGGCTTCTACAGACATATTTCTTTTGGCTTTAACTACTGACACCTCAATCATCTCCCAGGCACTCATCAGTTGAAGGTGTGTAAAGACCAGCAACAAAAAGATTTGGATGACGGGGTGCCAGGGAATCAGCAGTTTTCACATGCCCAGTTCAGTTCTTCAAACACACCTTTAGTAGCAAGTATGGAGAATGGAGAACTTGGGGACCAAATGATTCAGGGTGTAGAGCAGCTTGAGAATAGACCTGAAGAACCTCCAAGTTCTGTTGGTGATGATGAACTCACTGCAACAAGACCCAAGGAGGAGATCAAATCTGAGGCACATATACCGGAAGATTCAAGAGATGATACTGTGGAATTAGGGTGCAAAGTTCACAAGGATGGACATTTGGAGACAGATCAACAAGAGAGAGAATGCGTCAAACCTAGTCAGGTCATCAAAGAGGAAACTCCTTCAGAGTCGGTCTCTGGTTCAGTCCATGATGAAACTGATAAACCTGGTGAGACTGTGCTTGATGATAAACTCAAAGAGGAACCTGTAGAATCATCTCAGACAGAGAAGCTTGCTAAAACCCAAGGTGTAAGTGCTTCAAATAAAAAGAAGAAAAAGAAGAAGAAAAACAAGCAGAAGCAGAAACAGAGTGACAAGCAAGAGAGTGACATAAAGATAGATGACAAGAATGAAACAGTTTGTAGTGAAGACAATCCAAACCAAAAAATGGAGGGTGATCTAGAAGGAAACCATCAGGATCCCTTAGGGAATGATAAATCTGAAACAACAATGAATACAGATGTCACACATAATGCTAAAAGAACCAGTGAATTGGATGGTATCGAAACAACAAGCACAAATATAAATGCTGATGATGCTCAAGATAAAATGATGTTAGTTACAGATGAAGCTGATTTAGCAGAAATTTCTAAAACAATCTCAAATTTTGATTGCCCTGAATCTGGAAATAGCGTGATTTCAGATGATCTGTCCAACAATATTATCTCTAACCCCACAAACATAATTGATGAACACACTGAGGATTCAACAAATCCTGACTCTGAAGCTGTAATCTTTAGCTGCGAGCTTGTATCTTCAGAAACAAAGACTTCACTGCCTCATGAACCTTCTGCTCAGTCCATGGATGCTGTTGAAGGGGGTGTTCAGTCCACCAGCAGCTCTGAGAACATTGAGTTGAAATCATTGAAATCTGCATCGGAAGACATCAAGGAAGCGGAGAGTCATCTGAACTGTGAAGTAGAACAGGAGGAAAAGCTCCTGAATGTTGATCTAGATGGGACCACCAACCCTGAAGATCAAGATGGCTCTGCTCATCCCACTTCCCCTGTAATGGAGAAGGTGGAAAATGAAGCTGAAAGGGTAATCCAGGAACAACCTGTTGACCAGCCAATGGAAAGCCAACTTCAAGACAGTATTGGAGCAGAACTGGACCAGGAAGAGGTTGAGACACAAGATGGACTGGATAAAGAAAATCTTAAAGTGCCTACTGAAATAGTGTTTGATGGAAGCCATGTCGACAACACTCCTTTAATTGAAACCCAGTTTCAGGTTGTGCATGAGGATCACCTGTCTGCCAATGAAGCAATTCAGGAAACCGTTGAGTCAGATGCTTCTGACCAAAAACCCAAGGTAGAAAAAGATGAGGAGGAAAGATCAATCCAAAATCAAGTTACACTTGAAGTGCAACTGCCTGAAGATGAAGAAGACCTTCTGGTGAAGTCAGATGTGGCTGCTCAAGAGCTCAAGGAAGGAGATGAGGAAGAGGAAGATGACGGAGAATCATTTGATTTTGATGAAATGGATCTTGAAGCATCATCAGATGCCCCTCTAAAAAACTTTCTAGATCAGCCAAATGAGGAAGTTACTCTTTTAAAAGAAAATGTCCAAGAAGCAAGCCAGGAACACCAAAGCAATGTCACTGATGAGGACCAAACTCAAGAAGAGGAACATCTAGAACTTGCAGATCAGGAATCAAAGCCAAAGGAGCAGAAACATGATGGACAAGACACAGAAAACCCACAAACAACAACAGATGTAGAAGGATGTTTAACAGAGGACAGCCAAATCAACAGTGAAGTCAGACCTAATGATCAGCAGCATGATATTACTGGAATTAAAGAAGACGCATTTGAGGAGCATCGGAAGATGTGACGCTCAATGAAGGAGTTAATCTGATCTCAGACATGGAGACAAGAAATGTAGGCCAAGAGGTCAATAGTACTATTCATCACGAAAAAAAGGCATCAAATATTTCAGGAGATAAGGACGTTGAGAAGGAAACCGCAGAAAGCAACAGGGAAGATGAAAGAAAAGAATCTAAGAAAAGTGGGAAAGGGAAGGGCAAGGGGAAAGAAGATTGTAAAATGTCTTAATAGACAAGGACATTGCTGAGTTTCTTCTCAGCATCTTCAGTTTAAGAAGTAATTTGCACTTATGTAGGTCCTAATGAAATTATTTTGGGACCATTACTTTGGAGAACCCTAAAAAACCAAAGTGATCTTACAGTCAAGCCCAATTATCAGTCACTGCAGCTGTTTCAGCAAACGTATTTTATACATGAATGTTTTACACCTGAATAACAATACTGAATGAACACAGGAAATTAGTTCAAACAGTATTTAAAATCCCAAAACCAATCACACATTAAATGCTAGCAGTAATGGGTATAAAGTGTCCTATTTATTATGAAATTGTACATGAGCATGAATAAAATGTTTCTCATAATAATATATGAGAAATACGTGTTTCTCTTTTGGAAATTACCAACTTTCTGTCTGTGCTGCAGTCATGTTTAGCAGCTTCTTAATTACAATCTTTTCAGTTACAAAGGACCCGTAATATATTTGGTTTAAATGGGTGTTATGTTGTTTAAAATTGTGGTAAATAAAAAATGTTATTGTGTGCCAACCCCTATTAAACATTCCTCTACATTTTGACTGGAGCTTTGTTGTTACATTTTGTTTTTACAATTAATTTGTTGGGAGATATGATTGAAATCATATGGAAATATTTTATTCTGTTTGGTGAAGATACCGTTGGGACATTGAGACCTAGTGTATGTTAACTGAACCATTTATGTTAAAATAAAACGTAAGCAAATATATGTTTTACACTATTGTTTATTGATCGTGTTACAGCAGAAATTTTGTCATAATTACATTTTCCAGCTGACTGGATAAGTTTTTATTATACAATGATAGAGGAAATTTAATTAAACTGCTTCAGATAAAAATGACTTATTTTTAATGATTTAAAAATACTGATTTATTTTTAATCATGAAAGTTTTAATTTTTAGGACATGAATTATAGTACGTCGCACACTCATCGCATAACCTCAAGTAAGCTCACATCATGAAAAACACTGACATGTAATAGATGTACTGATTGAGTGAACGCTGAGAGATTTGACTACGTGAGGCTGAAGCCTCTAATGTCACTGAAGTTTCTGCATGTTGTCCATCCTCATCATTCACATCCCAGCATAGGATAGCCTCACTTTTTGCATGCCCTGACTCCTCCCCCTCCATGCCTTTGGCTCCTCCCACCCCTGGTATGTGAAATGTTTCCTGTCTAACTTTGGAATTTGTTTTAAAATGAGAATGTAATATTTTATTATTGCAAAAGACATGTTTTAGATGTTTAACTGTAGTTGTTAAAAATGTATGAATGTAGCCAAAAGTGGTTATCATATTGAAGTGGATATACAGTTGTCTTTCCAAAAAAAAAAAAAAAAACCTGCAAGAAAAAATTATGTTGGTTTTTGTCTAATTGGCTATCTGTTGAACTCGCTTTTCAGAAATTCGCTTGCGAAAACTGGTTGATGAGAGGGAAAACTTAATAGAGCAGGTGTGTTTCTGGCAGTTACTTTACATTGACTTTGTCCTCATTTTGTGCCATTACAAGCAAGATTTTCTGTTTTATTCTGTTCAGGTTAAGAGATTGAAAGGTCAACTTGAGCAGAAGAAACAGAAGAATGGTATAGAGGAAGCATCCAGCCCAGAGGGAGATGTACTGGAGAACGGCACTGATTCCAACATCATGGATATACAGAGTAAGAAACTGCCTGCACTCAGTCAGCTTCAGAGCAAATGTTTTAGAAACTTTTCTACAGCTCACAATATTCACTACATTGTTAGCAATCATTTTTAACAGGTTTGGTTTATTGCCAGAGCAAGTAAGACCCTCAGTCTGAGATGTTGAGAAATGTGTAATTGTTCCTTATTTCAGGGGATGCCAACAGACAAATCAATGATCTCAGATTTAAGCTTGTCAAATCAGAGCAAGAAGTCACAGCACATGAACAGAATGTGAGTTCCTTTAATATATTTTATTACTAATAATTGTAACACATTTTACCCTTTGAAAATATGAAATAGTGAAATAACATTTGAAGTTGTTTTAATTAACTCGTGTTGTAGGTCACAAGGCTCGAGGGTCAGGTGACCCGTTACAAAGCCGCATCTGAAAACGCAGAGAAGGTGGAGGACGAACTCAAAGCTGAAAAACGCAAACTGCAGCGTGAGGTACAATAGTCAAATAGTCTGCTTTCGTTAAAAAAAGTTCTACTTATATGTACATACAATAAAATGAATAGCTTGCGCAACTTTTTTTTTTTCATGGTAGTTACGCTCTGCACTGGACAAGATTGAAGAGTTGGAGTCCAGTAACAGCCACCTCTCGAAAAGGCTGGAGAAGATGAAGAGTGGCCGGGCAACAGCAACAACTCCCTAATGGTTTCAGATCTGTCCCATAATCTAACCAAAATCACCATTCCCAATGGGCATTTCCTATCATTCTGCACCTTATGCAAAGTTAATAAAACTATAAACAAGCTCATGAGAACCGTGATACATTATATTCTGCAACCGTGCCATTTCCTCCTATTTATCCATTTAGCTTGAGTTCTTCATCTTTGGAGAACCCAGTCAGGACTTTCTGAAGGATGCAGGAGGACTCTTTAGTGTGCTTCATTCAAATGCACAAACACTGTAGTTCAAAAAGTTAGAATGGTAATTGTCACATTTGAATCTTGCTGTGACTGAATTGATTCAAGCGTAATGTGCAAGGCTGCCCGAGATTATTTGGAGAAGGATCTTAAAAGTTACTCTTTGAAATTCTGAATGTGAATATCAGGGCATGTTGTCCAGATCTAGGATGTCTGGGTGGTCATTTGTTTGATTAAAGATAAAGACACCCGTTGCTTCACTAAGACAAGACAGACAACTGTTATGTTATGATCTGCAATAAAATGTCCATTTTAATTTTAAAAAGTTGTCTGTAGTCTATATATAAATTCACTTAACATATGCCTTCAAAACAGACCAACACTGGAGAGTCAGGGTACTGTGAACTACATACTATGTATGTATTTGAAATATTTTTGTGACAAAGAATATCACAAGTCAATTATTAGAGATAATTTTGCCTCTTGGATTTCTGACCTGTCCAAAGTAATTTTTAAAATGTAAAATATAAGTCAAATTGAGTATAAACTGAGCCAGATGCAATTAAGCTAGAACATACAGTGGGTACGGAAAGTATTCAGACCCCCTTAAATTTTTCACTCTTTGTTAATGTTTACTTATTTTAATATATTTGAGACATTTCTATGTGTTTGTCTCATGTTGTCATGTATTGTGTCTGGTATTGTAAAAAAAAGTACATATAAACACAGCAAGACAAACAGGTTGATATGGAAAATGGATATTTAATATACTTTAAACCCAAATAACATTGGTAAAATATAACAGCAACTCTTCCCCTCATACATACCAGTTAATTTAATTGTATGTGCAGATATATCATAAGGCTAATAATATTTGAGTAATGTTTTTTAAATGTAAAATAAATTTATAAAATTAAATGTAAATTTGAATATCTGTTTAACTGTTCTTACAGTTGACATTTCTTTAATGTAATTTTCTTAAAGGAAATTGAAAATTGATTATATTTCAATATGCAATAACCTATGGAAGACCATTTCTGCCATGGAATTAAAAAAAAAAAAGGTCAATTTCTGAGAAAAAAAAAGTCTGAATTATCAGATATAAACTCAAAATTGCACAAAAAATATCAGAATTGTGAGTTGTTGTTTTTTTTATCTTGTGGGGGATTCCATAATCCAAGCTTCCATAATAACCTCACTTGTATACCTTTAAAATGTATCAGTTCTAAATAAGATAAATATTTATATACATAAGTAAAGATAAATAAAATATTGTACAACATATCAAATTAATAATATACAGTGGAATTTTGTAATTTCTACACAAGAAATAGGCAAAAGCTGTACTCCACAATCAAAAGAGAATGAAGGATGAATATGATAGATAGAGGATTGTGTGATTATTATAGTGCAGTTGAATCACTGCCAAAACAGTATCTACTTCATTTAGCGATCTGTTTCCTCTATCTGGGATGTACGATACTCCACAACAGATTTTTTCACGTTCTTATCTTGAGTAAGATCTGTGCAACTAAGTGCCTTCCCTGTTACTGGATCATTATTGTTCCTGCAACAATTAAAAAAAAAGTCTGTTATTATCTTCCTACTATATAAACCTCCTCAATATAGAAGGCAACATTAAAGCAAGGAACTTCCTTTGCTGACCACCACAGGTAGATCAGATCCCTCTTATATGAGCATGCAAGACAACTTCCTTTCTAATAGCATTTTATTACCATATAATGTTGCTATGATAATATCATGGCTTATGAAAATAGCTTGTTTGTGGGCCTCTGTCTAGTAAGGAACCCTGTTACTCATGTTCACCATCACCCTCTGCCTGACACCCCTTTTGCAAATCTTAGTTTCATTTAGAAAGTGGGTGAATGGCACCTTGATGTACCATAATATTTCCTCAAGGAATAAAATCACTTTCCCAGACTTTTGCTGTACCTCGATGATGCTACTCCACATTAACAGTAAGAACCACGAGAGACAATTCCTGCACAATTCTGAGCATCTAACTCAGCTACTCTCAATGCACTAACACAAATCAATTGTAAACCACTCTTATGAATAAATCTCAAGTTTTTCAGACACTAATCCACTGAAACTTACGTCTTAAGATGTTCCTCAATGGCTCTTCGCTCATACACATATCCACCTTTGGCCTTGACTGGATCAATGAACATCTTCCCTGACAAAGGACATACCAGATGAGGAGGCACTTGAACATCGCTCTCACCTATATATTGCTGAAAAACAGATTGAAATGCAAAAATAAATAAATACATACATACCTACATAAAGTTGTAATGTTTTTTATAACTATTATCATAAAACAGGATAATATCCTAACAAATATATGCATACAGAAATGATTCACAATTAAATTTACTACAAGTGTACAGAGCTCAGACTTATACGTTATAAAATATGTACAGTTTTAACCTGTTGAAATGTTGACCTAGGGGCTGCTCAAGTACTTTTCTTTTCTAATCCCACTTCAAAAATATATATTTTTATTTGTTCTTAAGACATTTTAAAATGTATGATTGTCCAGTAATGAAATTGAGTGTCCTTCAAAATTCAGAAACATGAGTTCTCTATGACAAAAACTCTGGGCTAAGTTTGTTGGTAATAATGGAATTAAAAAGATTTTACCTTTTCAATGGTTTCCATGGACTGATGTGCATTTATTGCAGTGTCATCTTTAGCTGCTTGCTCATAGAGTTCTTTGCTAGTCAGGAATTCCTCTGCTAATATGCTAACGATACGATAGTGGACAAAAATACATGTACAGAAACAGATCGATGCTAAATAAATAATGTAATGCATTTTACAACTTAAATGGACTTTAGTCTCTGTCTGTGGTATGTTCTGATTATATCAGATTTGTTAAGTCCATTGAATAATAAAAAAACGTTTAGAGTTTTAAAGTGGTAATGAAAAAAACACCAGGTGAAGAAGGAGGCTACCTGTCTAGTGGATCGTCAGCCTCTGGGAGTATCAGAAGTCCATATACAGCATCCAAGATCTCTCTCATAGTAACATCAGCTGAGTAGTTTCGATCAAAAATGTTGTGGCAAATCCTTCCCACACTGTTGATGTTGCAATGGTAAATCTGTACTGCAGTTAAGGATTTTATAGAGTACAAAATGCTAGCGAAATACTTTTTTCTAAGGTGTTCTATGCTTTACTCTTAATGTATTAATGGAAAAACAGAAATCAGTTTATGAAAATTACTGTGACACTACTAAGGCTCAAGGATACAGGAGTATAGAACCGTACAACAGGTGGCTTTACTGGATAATCATGGCCAAACTGACAATACAGCTCAAAGGTTCCATTCTCATAGGGGGTTTCTGGAGGTCCTTTCATGACAATCCTCCAAAAAGCTGAAATATATTTGCATGACAACAACTTTATTGAACATACTTAAATGTGTAATTTTGACTACCTCATTTAATTAGAGGAAGCAACTGACGCTATCTGGTGAAGTGGCAGATATGCAAACCAATTAATGCGCTGCCAGGTTTTTGAGGATTATGACCGTCTGTGGGCAATATGCATCAAAGAAGCTTCTACCCACAAACAGAAATTGTAAGGTGGTGAGACTACATATATTAGACTATGTTTCATTTTCAAGAGTCGAGTATCAAAAACATTAGGACTGTTTTGTAAAGATATATAAGCAACCTAGTTTGGTGTATGCCCCCAATTACTGATATTGTTCATTATTGTTTAATTATTGATCAAATTATTCACAATTACTGATGTTAGGAACTATTGGTACATTTCATGCATGAAAATCTAACAGCAGGAGAAATAGCATGAACTGTCTTATTTTGACCACTACATAAAAGCAGATTTAATCATACTTACTGAGATCGGTTTCTGAGGGATACACAGAACAGTATGGATGGGGATCACAGTGAAGACTCTTCAGTTCTTCTAAGATCCGTTTATCTTTCTCCATGAAGCGGCCTGACTTGGATTCCCGTATCTTCTTTTTTAGTACACTAATAAGGAAATTATTTGTATATTAGTATGTAGAATAAAAAGAATTACATGATATTCCCTATAACTTTTTAAGTATTTCTACACCTTTTGGAATTCATGAATTAAAAGTATCTTTAAAATTATTACTTTCCTAGAATATTTAGAACACCAATTCATTTTTACTAGAATTTCTTTAAAGAAAAGAACCATATAAGTGTTTTCTAAATGATAACAATTGTCTTCATGTATCAGATTAAATTATTATTTACTTTTGTGGTGGGCAGTGAAAATTTTGGCAGGGGAAGTATAAATCTGAACCATTACAGGAAAGAAAAAAAAGCATTGCTATATTGATTCCTTCATTATGATTGGTTGAGCCATATTGGAAGCCATTGTAAATTATGCTGCGTTCATGCCATGTCGTAATTACCATAATTTCAAGATGACAACACGTGACTTGGAACTGTCTCAAGTCCTCGGACTCGAAATTATGCATTTCTATGGAAACACTATCAATGCCAAAGTGTTCGCGTCCTCATAGAACTCATAATTATAACTTGAAAGCTGGCAATGTTCTGAGAGCTGTACCACCTGACTGCCCCAGATTCATTTAGGTGCCATTGATGTTGATATTGCCATAGAAACTCATAATTCTAAGTTTGAGGACATGGACAGGCTGCGTTCATGCCATGTCATAGTTATTCTGAGATAACACATGCGTTCTACTCTGAGCTGTTCCACATCCTCAGAGGCAATCTGTGGTGGTCAGGTGGCAAAAGCAGTATCACACTTGCAGTCTGCAATATGGCTCTATGTCAGTTTGTCAAGTCTGACATTACGTGTTACAATTTCTGGGTCCAAACACGATTTCAGATCTCAAAAGTACACTGCAATTTTTAAAAAGCTTTTAAAATTTACACGAGTTCAAGTACAAGTTCTGCAAGCATGTGAATGGTTACCATAGAAATGGAGTTACCACAGTGTTGCCATAGAAATGCATAATTCCGAGTCTAAGGACATGGAACAGCTCAGAGTAGAATGTCACGTGTTGTTACAGTATCTCGAAATTACAGTAATTACGACATGGCATGAACACAGCTTTACTCTAGAAACATACACCTGTGACCTCATTACTTCGGTATTAATGCACCATTGTGTCTCTGTGTTGCTTGGAAACCATTCTGAAGGGCATTTCCCAGAATGCGATTTTGAGAGAGGGGACCACAGATGGAGGGGAAAATCTTGGGGGAAAAAAACATGATTGGGCTAGTTTTGAATAGCCTTT